GGGGGGGCGTTGGCTGTGGGTTTTAAGCCCTCCACTCGTGTCGTGTGGGGTGGGGTGTGTGTGTGTGTGGCTGTGGGCTCTGTTTGTGGTTGTGATATGATGCCCTGTGTTTTTGGCCGTGTGTGTGGGATGGATGGAGGGAGGGAGGGAGGGAGGGATGGCTGTGTACTCGCTAGTAAGACGAGTGTTTGAATGGGTGGGGGGAGGGTGGACTGGACAGAGAACTACAGACTACCTTGAAGGCAGGTCTACGGGCTGTCTCTGTGGCGTGTACACGATTTGGTTCCTCATATCTCGCTCGCATCGTGAGAGAGGAAAGCACCTACTGCACTTGACTTGACCTTACTGGTGGAGAGACAGAGTAGAGAGAGTAGACAACCTGAGCTCACTTGAGAGTCAGCCGACACCCAGTCAGCTGACCTGACTGACCTGACAGACAGATGGACTGACGGTACTGACGAGAGATGGCCTCACGCGTGGCGTTCATGACGGTGCGTGTGTCACCAGTGATTGCAATGCAAGCTCAGTTCGTTGCTGCTAGGTGGATGGTTTGGTTTCATTCAGGGAATCGAATGCAGCCGACAGAGTATTGAGAGGGAAAAATGCCACCCACGGTGGCCAATCCAATCCGTCAACCAATTTTTCCTGCCCCTCTCAAACAGACACACACACACACGCATCAAAAGGCACTTAGTTTCCTCACTCATGGGGCAGCTAGGAAGGAAGGCACTGGAAAAACAGTCACACACTCACACACAGCCCACACAGCTCACACGGCGCGCTCACCGATCTCCTTCTTGGTCTTGTCCACCCCGGCCCACGCTATCCACAGAAACACAGGCCATGTACTCGCACACCACACCACACCAACACATCGACTGTACACAACACACACAACACACAACACAACACAACACGACAGCACAAAACGGAACGAACAGGATATCCATCCATGCATGGAACTCTAAGAAATGAGGCAACAAGAAGCTGGTGGTAGGTTCCTTGGCCACCCTTGGCCACGTGACGACAAGATGAAGAGAACTGCTGTCTCTCTCACTCCCTCCCTCCCTCCCTCCACCCCTTCCCTGCTCTCTCGAGGCACATGCACAAACGAACATACGGAAGTGCACAGACACACGGACACAGGCCAGCCCTTCAGCTGCCTCATTCCTCCCTGCCTGCCTGCCTGCCTGCCTGCCTGCGTGTCCGCCTGTGGTGCATGTATGTGTCTATCGATCTATCATGATGGGCGCGAGCCTCACCCTCCCCGGGCACTTCCTCTTGAAGTCGTCCCAATCCCGACAGAAGAAGTCGACCATCAACCGCGCGATCTGATTCGGATACTCTGATCGACACAGACAGAGCACATACAGAGGAGCAATGAGTCTCTCTCTCTCTCTCTGTGCGTGTGTGTGTGTGTATGTGTGTGTGTGTGTGTCGGCAGGGGGGCCCACCGCACCTTCGATGGAGTGGTGTGTGCCGAGTAGGAAGGGCACCAGATGGATGTTCGGTATGATCCCAGCCATCTCGTATTGCTGGTAGGGGGGCGTCATGGCGTCCAGAAGGCCCGTCAGCATCACAGTCGGCGTCCGCACCTCGGGCAGTAACGCCGCCACCGAGTGGCAGTCCAACGCCTGCACACAGGACAGGCACAGGTATGCACAATCATTGCACCCACTACATTGAGCGCACCGCACCTGACAGCCGTGTGGTGTGGTGTGTGCATCCTCTGCTCTCCTTTCCTTCCCTTCCCTCCCATCCTCCCTCCCTCCCTCCCTCCCTCTCCCTCTTGGCACCTGTAGAATGATGCCGACATTGTTTGCGTGTGACGCCGTGTTGCCAAACACATCCGACGCATTGAGCAGCATCATCCACTCGTACGTGGGTATGCCCGTTAAGACACCCAGGGGCTTCCAGAGGTACCTCCGCAGCCAGTGGATGACGACGCGGTAGATGCGGAGGAAGATGGCGTACAGATTGGGGTAGGGGCAGATGCCGTAGCGGCACACCCATATGAGGGAGTGTAGGATGCGGGGCACCAGGGGGTTGGGCAGGTACCAGCTGATCTGGAAGGCGCACGTCAGCGTGTGGCCCCAATTGCCGTTGACCAGGAACAGACGCTCCACCTTGTCTGGGTACGTCGCAGCGAACTGAACGAACACGCAAGAAAAGAAGATGAGAAAGAATGAAGCAGGCAGTATCACCATCGATCGACATCCCATCCACATGCCCCTTCCCTCCCTCACCTGCAAAGCGATCTGCACACCGGTGCTCCACCCGCCCATTCCATGGAACTTGGGAATGCCCAGATGCACCATCAGGTCCAGCGCATCGTCAGTGAGCCTCTCCACCGAAAACCTGACAGCGTCGCACGGGTCGTCGCTGTCGAACTGCCCCCGATAGTCCCACGTGACGACTCTGAAGTCGTCTGTCCACACCTCGCCCTTGCCGCCCATGCTGGTGTAGATTCGCTGGAGGGCGGTGTGTGCTGGCGACCACAGCAGGTACGAGCAGTTGACCCCGTTGCAGAGGAGGATGGTCTTATCGCCGTTGCCGAAGATCCCGTACCGCAGGTTGAGGCCGTCACGCGTTCGGAAGGTGCCCTCCTCCTGCGGCCCGAGGTGGGACAGCAGCCTCTCTTTGAGATCGTCGACATCCTTTATCGGGCCGCCGTCAAAGAGCTTGCTCTGCTTCATGCCCTCCCTGTACCTCCGATACCGCCGCCACACGAACAGGATGAAGCAGGGCCACATCAGCGGGTTGATGACGCACGCCAGAGCAGCCACGATGGCGATGCCGATGGCCGTCCAGGCGATGGTGCTGTGGATGTGGAACACCAGCATCGTGTACACGTAGCGGTAAGCTCCCTTGAGCCAGCCATTGACCTCAGGCGGTAACGCTCTCCGTCGCTCCGGATCCCTGTGATCCTCTGCAGTCGTGTGGCCGAGGCGCGAAGGGGACACGTAGGGGGAGGGGGGAAGGGGGGAGGAGAGCAACGACACCTCATTGAGGCGGTCGGAAGGGCTGTCTGCATCGGCGGTCGTCGCACCAGAGTCGGGTTCAGCAGGGCTCGTGTCATCGCTCACACGCTGAGGTGGAAGCATACTGTGCTCATTCGACATGTCGGGGTCTTGCTGTTTCCTCTCTTGAACACCGAGAGATCGTGCGAGCTCAGAGCCTGAAGGCGAGGACTCGAGAAGAGAGAGAAGGAGGAGAAAACACATTGAAGCAGGGTATACCATCACAAAGGGAGAAGATCTTCGAAGATCCGCTGGATTTGATTCATTCCCACTGTACGTATGTCTTGTTGCCTGCTGATGATTCCCTCCCTGTCCATGTGTGATTCACTGCTGCAGGTTGGCACCGTCAGAGTCGTCTGCGTCGTCTCGCTCGCCGTGCCGCCACCAAACTGTCATCGTGACGAGCCAAAATCAGAGGCCGGTGCCATCCATCATCCCGAGAGCCGGGCGTTCGTCAAAGGCCGGGCAGCAGTCCAGGTGGTTATGGCCGTCGATGGACCACCTCTGCCCTTCTCAGACGAGGAGTCATGCGCTTATGGCAGCCTCTCTGCCATTGCCCCAAATGTGTCGACCCCCATCACCGTCTTTCGACGCATTGCCGAGATGGCTGGTCTGACACCTGACGACCGCCTGGTTGACCTGGGCTGCGGAGATGGCGACCTGCTCGTCTATGCTGCCGAGCACTATGGCGTCCACGGCCAGGGATGGGACATCCTGCCTGAGGCTCTGGCGAGGGCACGGGAGAAGGCGGCAGAGAGGGGCGTGGCGGAACGAGTGAAGTTCTTGCAGCGGGACTTTCTGCAGGAGAGATCCTGGGTTGAATGGGCGACGGTTGTGTATGTGTACCTGACGCCGCGGTGCCTGAGCCATCCCTTCCTGAGGGAGGCGCTGACAGAGTTCTTGCGGGGAGGGGGCGGCCGGCGAGTGGTGGCGTACCACTACTTTCCTCAATTGGATGTGGGCTGTGAGTGTGCGGTGGACGAGCAGCTCAAGATATGCGTGTGGAGGGCGAAGGAGAGTGAGGGAGGCCTTTGCAGACAGTAGCGAGCAGATGGGCCGTGGGTCTGTCTGTCTGTCTTGTCTGTCTGTTGAGTCGATGGATCGGATCTACCTGCTTCGTGCTGTGCCGGTTGTTGGTGTCGAAATGGCTGCCTGCGATTTGTGATGGTTCAGTTCATCTGTAGGGTCAAGTGATATCATTGAGGACACTCATCTGATGACACACACGCGTCCCTCCCTCCCTCCCACATTACCCTTATTGTCACACCCTCGTACACACAGACCTCCCTTGCCTGCTTGCTTGCTTGTCTCCTCACATAGATGTCGGCCTGCAGCCCTCCCTCATCCAGCATCTCTCGCATTGTATGCATAAAAGCCTCTTCATTTAGCAAACCACACACTCACACACACACGCCGCCAAACATCTCATGCTTCCTCATCACACACCTGCCTTAAGGGGCCGTGCTATCTGTAGCTGGTGGTCGTCAGTATATGGTCGGGCCGTTGTTCCATCCCTCATCGAGCCTGGGCCTCGACGGGATGGGATTGAACTCGGGAATGTCATATGGAGCATCCCTGACAGACATGACATGGACACACACCTGTGTGTCCATGTGTGTGCGGCTTCCTTCGGTGACTGACTGACCTTGGGTTGAGCATTCGTGTGAGCAGGTTGACCCTGGGTGATGTGGAGAACCATATGTAGTCGGCCAGGAAGCGAGAGTAGCTCTTACGGGCTCCCTGACCCTGCACCACCACACACAGTCACATGCCACTGTGCCGTCAGTGCACCGTGCGCTCCCTCGGTCACTCCGTCGCTCACCAGGCCTAGCCTGAGTCTCCTGATGTACGAGTAGCTTTCCTCAGCGGTGGGGTTGAGGAGCACCGACGCGACGCGGAACTTGCCGTCCCGCCTCCTCAGGTTGTAGTAGTCCGTCCCCAGCCGCTCGGCACGAGCCTGGATGCCGTAGCCGTACTTGACGTGGTCAGATCCCGCCAGAAGCACCATCTTGTGACCTGTCGGTCCACCACACACACCACGGCCAGCCACGAGATACGTACGCATGTGGTGCGCTGTCTCTGTGTCTGTCTTAGAATGTTAGTTACGTGGGTGTTCCTCGAGCCACTTGGTCGCCTGCAGGACGGCCACAGCCAAGAGACGATCAGAAAGGAGGAGCAAGCAGTGTCTGTGTCACGTCGTTGTGTCTTACTTACTGCGTTTGCCATGGTTTCGTCCCAGAGCACTCGAGCAGCGAAGAAGAGATTGGGGTCGGGGCTGGGCCCCAGCACGCCCGTCTCGTTGTGGTACTCGAAGCTCCGGCGAATCACACGGTCGGCATACATCTGAACACGACAAACAAGACAAGGGACGGTGCGGTGCACACATCAATCACATCAGGTCAGCACAGCGGCTGGCTGCCCGCAGTCTGCACAGGCCTGTGTGATTGATATGACCTTGAATCCCGGTTGGTTTGTATAGTTGAGGAAGCCGAGCACGTCGGGGACATACCTCTGCCGCTCGGCGCCACGCAGCCCCTCAAATCCCGACAGCTGGACCTGACACACACGGACACACACACACACACACACGCATCCACAGTCGTACGTTTCCTCCGTGTGTGTGTGTGTGTGTGTGTGTGCATGTGCCGAGCGCACCTTTAGCTGCGCTTCGCTGTCTGTGTTGGCAGCGACGAGGGGCACCCTTGCCTGCCGCGCCCAGTGGAACAGAGGCAGGTAGTTCTCGAAGGGGAAGGGCCACCGGTCGTCCCACTCGGTGCTCCGCCTCAGGTCCTCGTCAGCAGCTGCGAGGTCAGCTACCTCACGGCTGATGTACCTGATATAGCCACACACACACACACACACAATGTATGTCTGACTCTGGCGTGTGTCTGAGTGCCTGCCTGCCTGCCTACCGACACACCTGTCGAGTGCGGGTTGGAACTGCAGCTGGACCATTTCGAGTCCGAGTGCGAGGTTGTAGTGGAGGCCCCGCAGCTCGCGGACGAGCCTCAGGGCCAGCTCCTGGTCTATGCCCTGGTCGTGGTGCTCACCCAACAACACCAACTCGTTCTCGCGAAGAATTTTCTACGCACAGAGAAAACAGAGAAAGGCAGGCAGGCAGGCAGACAGACAGATCGATGCGTGGACGGACGGACAGATGGATCGATGAATTGATGGAGGGCAGGTCCTGTTTGTCTGTCGCTACTCTCACTCGCTGCCTTGCCTACCTTGAGCATGTTGGTCTCGCCCCTGCCGCTGGTCATGGGCTGCATCGTCGGCGGGTCAGTCGGCAGAATCTGATCCATCCATGGCCAGCACACACCCATAACATCACACACACATCACAGCGTTTCATCGCTTTGCCCCTTCCTTCCACCACCCTGTCCCCCACCCAGCCCACCTGATACGCCAGAGGTCTGGGCGACAGTGGCGTGACGCCATCTGCCCGAAGGTAGTTGGGAGTGGGGGTGGGCGTGGGGGTGGGACCGTTGACCGTCACAGGAAGGAACACAAAGTCCTTCGGGAACACTTCCTCCGCTACCTGGGCTGCAGCCTGCTGGGCTGACGCACCGCCAGGCAGGCTGAGACCAATGGATGAGGCAGCCAGGGGCAGCAGCGCCTGGCCGACGGCATTCCTGAGGAAGCCACGCCTCGACTCTTCGTCGCTCATATCCTGTTGAATGACGTCTGCTTCGTCCGGGCGGCCGAATAATGCCACGGAAGGCGATAAAGACACAGCTGAATCATCCCGCTGCAACGGCATGTATCGACGTCGGGATGCTGCCCTGCCGCGCAAGCGAGGTGGCTGTGTGGGACCGATGAAGCCTTGGAGAGCGTTGATGAGATCTGATGTCGTCAGGAGTGTGTCGTCGTGCTCCAGCCGTCTGCTTGAGTGATGCTTTACGCCAGAAAGATGAGAGCCACCTCGTTGACATGCTGCAGATCCATTAGATGAGAGCTGGCCGGACAGATAAGGGCTGTTTTCGTCCCCCAGAGCCGACGGCTGCATCCTTGCGAGGATGGTGCTGTTGGCTGCAACCCAGTGATGCGCTTCAGATGAAGGCATCGTAGCAGCAGGCAAGATCAGCTGCTGCAGTGCCACCAGGGATGTCATGATTCGCCACCACCTCCGAGATCTCCAGAACAGCTCACGCTGCCGCGCCGACCGCCTGATTGATGCCGTTTTCTCCATGTGTTGTCCAGATCTCCTTGATACACGGCCATTACACACCCCGCACGTGGCTGTGAAGGGTACAAGACGCGCGAAGACAGCGGAGCGATCGTAGGTCGATCACCCTTCTGAACGGCGAGGCGAAAAACGAAGGTAGGAAGGCGTCAGACGGGGTTGGAAAGGACGCCTTCGTTCTTTTTGCAGATCCGCTGATCCCAGGTCGCCCGATCTCATCATTGTGGCTCAATGGAGCATGACTTCCCCTTCCCTTATCACTCAGTCGTCCTCAAACCTTCTACCGAAGACGCCAGCAGCGACGCAAGGGACGGCGGCAGGCCGGCCAGCAAGGTGGTCTTGCTTCACGGCTTCAACCAGTGCAGTGAATGCTGGACGAAGACAGCCGAGGCGCTCAGACAGCGGGGCCATATGGTGCTCCTGATAGATTTCTTGGGATGGGGCTCATCAGCCCGTGGCGCTACATACAGGCGGTGCCGCCTGAGCACCGATCTTTACGTGGAGCAAGTGCGGCACGCCGTTCTGAAGGTGGGATGGGGCGATGAGCTTCTCGTGATGGCCGGCATCTCCCTTGGAGGTGGGCAGGGCGGTGTGGCTGTCGATAGTGTGGAAGGGCCAGCCATTGTGTTGGTGTGCATCAGGTGCTGTGGCTCTCAAGTACGTGCTCAAGTATGATCACGTGGCTGCCATCAATCTCATGTAGGAGGAGAGGACAGCTATCCATCTCGAGTGTCCGTTCCATCCTCTTTGCCGTCCCCGTGTGTGTGTGTGTGTGTGTATGTGTGCCTGCAGTGCTGCTGCAGGCCGTCCCGAGCCCCACAGGACCACCCCGGCTCGAGTGAAGGGGATCTTGTCGCCTTTCTTTGCCGCTTGGTACCTCACCAAGGACACAGTGGACCACCTGCTTGAGCCTGTGCACATGCTGCTGCGGGCGACACGCGAGCCCCTCCTCTTTTTCCGCCGCGCTCATCTCATCAGCCAGACGCCTGACTATCTGGTACCCGAGGAGGTTTTTGATCTGCTGCCAGTGCGGGTGAAGAGGCTGGCGTACCTGTATGCTGAAGAGGATGCGTGGCACGGGCCCGACTCGTTCCTGTCCGGCTTTCAGCACCTGAGGCGACTGGGCCATCCTGCAGCGGGCAATCTCATTGTCAAGGGCTTCAACCACAGGTCAGGGCAGGTGCAGCATGCGGTGTGCGTATGTTGCGTCCCTCTGTGTGTATGCGTTCTTCAGTCACGTGTCTATGTGTCTGAGCATCGACGACTTACTGCTGCATGAAGAGCCCATCTGGCACCTGCCCACAGATGACGACATCGAGCGAGACAGACAGGAGCAGCCAAGCACAGTGTCCCACCACCCGTCGAGTGACGTATTGGGTGACGTGGTCTCGCCCGTCGGGCTTCGGTCACGGCTCTAGCTAGCTGATTGCTTGTGTATGTGTACTACATATATATGTGTGTCGTTCTCGACCGACGATCGATTCGTTGTTAATTGGTGTTTTTTTGAGAGAAACTCCGACTCAGTCTTGGCACGTGACTGACATTGATTATGATGAAGCTCGCTCTTCTCGTCAGTGTGTGCCTGGCTGGCAGCTGCGGTGTGCTGTGCTCGCCGGTCAAGGACAGGGACAAAGTGGTGCCAGCGACAGACAATGCCTTCTACCTGACGGGTCGGTGCATCAACCATGAACCAATCTGGCAGCATTTGATTGATTCACGTGTCTGTCTGTCTGTCTGTCTGTCTGTGGGCCAGGATCGAAGGGTGACCCGGACATCGGCACACTGACCTTCAACCTGAAGATCGAACCGGAGAACCGCAAGCCGTCCGAAGCAGGTCAGACAGACAGACAAACAAACAACCAGTTACTCTCTTGTTTGATGCTGATGGCTCGATGTTTGTCCAGGTTGGCATCGTGAGAGCCGTCTGCGTCGCCTCGCCCGCCGTGCCGCCACCAAACTCTCATCCGTGGGAGCCAAGATCAGATCACTCAAAGACGACATTCAGTGAGTGATCGCCAATATGAAGCAGGAGAGTGGATGCGTTGCAGCGGTCCACTGTTTGTTTGCTTGGTGCATCAGGTTGTATGGTGGCCAGCCCTATGTGAAGCGATAGCTGGGTGTGAGATGTCTCAGGAACTGTCACAACTTCTACAACCAGCCATTGCCGCGAGCGCTCCCATTTGGTGTGGCAAACACACACTCTCACTCTCACTTAATCCGCCCCAGCCAGAGACACCGTGTGTGCGTCTCACTCATGCAGGCTTTCGCGAGAAGCTCCCTGCCAGCCCGACAGCAGCTATCAACAAAGGCACATGCAAGAGACAGGATCACTCTCGCCGCTTTCATCCTTTCATGTCTCTGTTTGATTGATATGAAAGGGGCTGGTCAGATGAAGAGGGCCCTTTCGAACATCGTGTCGGCCGAGGAGACCATGAGCGAGAGCCAGGATGGCGATGATGCGGACGCAGCAGCACACCGGCAGTCGCAGCTCAAACGCGTCACACAGGACATGCAGCCGAAACAAGAGACTGATGACTGATGACTGGGTCAGGGCATCCGACAGTGCACATGGAGCAATCAGCCATATTATGTGTGTGTGTGTGTGTGTCTGCTTCAGGTGACGAGTGGCTGAGTGAAGATCGGAGAGATGCAACACGTCTTGTGGCTAGCAACACGCACACACGCTAATTCATGGCTGACGAGGTCAATTTCAATTCATCTTGAAATTGAGGAGTCGGTGTCTCACGAACCAACAGATATAAAATGTACGCAACGATTGCCTGGCTCCACCACTCACTCTCTTTGGCTGACCACTCCGAGGCGCCACTCCGAGGGGGCAATGCAAAAGCGGCTCGTCTGCAAAAGCTCTCGCAGCTGCTATGCACAAAAACACATATCACAAGTCGTCACACATATCACCCACATACAGACATATCACACAGAGACACACTCGATCTCTCTCCCATGCAACATAGGGTGCTGGCGTGACCTTTAGGGTCTCTTCCGACGGTTTTACTGTGGTGTCCGGCATCTTCTCTGTTATGTGGAAGCGACTGCCTGCCAGCAAAACCTGGTACTTAATGACCTTCATAGCAAGCCTCCTCAATAGGTTGGTCTCCTGCTCGTGGCTCGGCAACCACCAACACATACACCTGATCCACCCAATAGCATCAAAGATGGAAAGTCAATGAGGTGGGTAAGGGGTCTCTATATAGGTGCTTATCCATCTACCTTAGCTGACATCATAGACGCCAGCCAGACAAGGAGTTCTGAGGACATGTTGGACCTCCACTTCCCAGCAGCAGTTGCCGCCACCGTATCCGGGCTATGGTGGCTATCAGAGTGTGTGGGCCTACTGCCCCACGCAGCCAATGCCCAGTGAGGGCGATGCCTCTGTGGGTCTCGCCTCTTCCCGTCCTTCTCCCACTGCTGGACCAATGTCCAGTCCATGTGTCAGTCCATGTCGACGCTGCGCGGGTATTCTCGTGTGATGTTCGTTTTGCCGGGCTCTGGCCGCGTGACCATTTGTTTAATGCGCTCCACTTCGGCATAGTCTTTTTGAGCAGTGAGCTGGTCCATCACTACACGTATGTGCACAGAAAGGAAAAATGAGCGGGCATGTCTCGAGTACTTAATCGTACTGGTGGTGGTGGCCAGTTGTTCCTTGAGTTTTGCGTTCTGTGGGCGCATTCATGAGACCACAACAGCACAGAGACGGCAGAGAATGAACCACGTGTGTTATTTGCCTGCTGCTGTCTGTCTTTTTGTTTGCGTGAGTACCTCGGCTTCCAGTGATTGAATCTCGGCAGCCATGGCTTTCTTCTCGGCCTCCAACGCCTTGCTGGCCTGCTGCTCGATGGATGCACACACAAGCGGACACAGGCAGGCACGTGTCCTCGTCCACACGCGCGTGGGTCATTCATTCTGTTCTTCTGACTTATGTCCCTCTGGGCCAGCATCTCCAGCAGGACTTCCTGCACATGTGAAAGAACGCACCATGACGCACGCGTCCACACAGCACCGATCGATCGACTCATGCATCGCACCCACCTGTCTGTCTTTGAGTTTGACGACTCTTGACTGGTAGATGAGGGCCCTGTCCTTCCACTCCTTGAGCTGTTCTGCGTACAGGCACAGAGGAAGGGAAGGCGGGCGGGGCGGGCAGCGTTTATGCCGGCCAGTACGTGTGCCGTTGCTGACTACCGACTCACCCTGGAGGTATTCCTTGTCCTCATAGAGAAACACGATGTCCATCCCCCTTCCAGCCACCATCAGCCCTTCTATACGTCTGTAGGCCGCGACCGCCGCTCCTCGGAGGCGGGTGGCCGCGACCTCCATACGGCCAATCTGAAGTCGACAACAGGCGACCAACCAATATGTAATACTGACCGGTGCAGGTGGCTTAGGAGTTGTGTGTGTGTGTCTGTGTTTGTGCGTACTGAGACTGCTGGTGTCGCTGTTGGTGGTAGAATGCCGTCGATCCCATGACAGACACCTGACAGACGCCCACACGACACACAAACACGACAGTGATGGAGGGATGATGCCAGCCCTCCACCCCCGTCACCACCCCCATACCCACCATACCCATATTACCGCTGCCCCGCCTGCTGCCCCAACTGCTGTGCCGCATGCCCGTGAGCAGGAGGGGGGTGGCCTGTGCCGTAGGAGTGCCCAGGCGCTGCAGCGCCTGGAAAAGCGGTAGGGTGGGGCTGGGCATACGGGCGGTGCGGCGGTGGGCCAGCGTACCACCATCGAACGAGGCGTGGCTGAAAAACTGCAAAGCCAGAATGTGGACGAAAATTGCGAAGGAACTTTCAAAATCCGGAAAATCAGGGTTTGCAGGTTCTCACTGTCTCATCGCGAAAATCTTGCCGCACGCGCATTCGCTTTCTGCGAACAGCAGCAGGTCAGAGAACGAAGGCAGAGGCAGAGAGCATAGCTGCTGCCGCAGACGGAGTCATTGCATTAAATCCCCTTCACTTTCGGCAGGCCGTGCGGCAGTCGTGTGGTGTGTCTCTCTGTGTCTGTCTGTCTGTCATTTCTGCCGCCTGCCACTGCCGCAGACAGACATGACACACGATTGGGAAGCGTACATGAATGAGCTCTGACGACTTTGATGAGGGGCAAATGAGTGAGTGCATCGTTCAATCAATCATTCATTCCAGGTCTTGACAAAGACGTACACTTACTGAAACAAACACCCCCCCTTCCAACTGACTGAGCACGTGTGTGCACACACAAACGTATCAACACCAAAGGCTGTTCTATCTACAGACAGGCACACACAAACGCACAACGTACACTAGCTACTTGGAAACAAACAATTACTTCTTCGACGCACACAGCCCCCGACACACACAGCTCACACCTGGCCCGCCCCCTGCCACCTCATCAGTCACTTCACTCACTCTTCGGCCAGCCGACTGCACGTGTGCCGCACCTGTGTCTGGAAGTACCGGTAGAAGGATCGCTCCGAGCAGCTGCCCCACTCGTCACTGATGCGGCTGGCGCAGCTCTCCGTGAACCAATAGTCGGCATCACTGACACACGTCTGCCGCTCCACCAGGTAGCACACGGCGTCAGATGGAGTGATCAGGGATGACTCGCCGATGAGGCACTGGGACTGGGCGAAGCTGCAGGCGGCGTGCGCGACGCCCTGTGCCACCCTGTCGTTGAAAGCCGAACATGAAGTCTCCTCGCCTGAGGGATTCGAAGCACCGACAGACACCATGCTGTGCTTTGTTTGTCAAAAGGCTCTTCTGTCTGTGTCGTGTGTGCCCATGCATCCTACCGGAGTCAGCGAGGTGCCTTTCCTCGGCGGTCACACCGTCCCAGTCAGGCTGGCAGGGGGTCCCCTCACCATCTGCGCACCGCGGCGCTGCAGCCCTCAAGGACCTCCCCGGTGAGGGCAGTGACACCACCGCACAGATCCCCTGCGTCCTCTTGGTGTAGAAGGCGTTGAACTGCGCCTCGCTGCATGTGCCGAATCTGCCGCTGACTGACGTCTTGCACATGGAGAGGGCGAGGTCCACCTGCTTGGTGCAGAAGGGCTTGTCCACGGTGTAGCACACGTTGGTGAACGGGAACCGCTTCACCCTCGATGTGGGCTTGATGATCTGGCATTGTGTTTGAGCATACAGACAGGCCGCTTGGGAAATGCGCTCCTGAGCGGTGCTGGTGAAGGAGCCACACGCTGACACGGACGGACAGCGAAAAAGAATGACGCGCCTCTTTGCCTGTTGTGTGCACACACATGCGCATCGCATACCTGAAGGGACAGATGAGGATATCGGCAGGGCAACAAGAAGGCCGAAGACGATGGTGAGAAGACGCTGCATCGGAGGGGCGTTGGAAAGATCCTTGGAGTGGGCTGCTTGCAGATGGTGGATGTTGCTCTGCGATGTTTCTCAGCATCTCAACGCAGCGCCAGATCTCGGGGCTCTCCATCTTTCAAGCTCGCAAGATCTCCGATCGCACCGACGACGTTCGTTCGTTCGTCGGCGCAGCTGATGTCAGCAGAGTGACGTTCATGCTTTCGGCCTTGATATTTGCACTGCTGATCTTCCTGTCTCCCATCGAGGAGTCCGGCTTGCCAGCCGTCGGAGGCAACACCAACCAAGCGCCGATGCGAGATCTCCAGCGGTATTATGCATCTAACATTGGGCAGTGCTTGACGGGGTCGGACCCTGTGGCGTGCTTGAAGGGGTCGGCCAGCTCACGGCTGCGGAGGGACCGTCCGAGACTGGGCAAAATCAACAATGGAAGAGGGAACGGTTCGCGGCAGTGAATGAAGACGTGCACAGGGACAGGACGGAAGGGGACGATGGGAAAGCTGCAGCTGCAGCTGCAGCCAGCCAGCCAGCTGCCGGTGGTGTTTGTTTTTCGGTTGTTTTCATCGGACCGTGACTGTCTGCGTGTCTCTTTGTGCGTGGACGATGGATGAGTGAGGGCTGAGCTGTTGTGCATTGCAACACACCATCGCATCACTCACTGGCTAGCTGTGTGTACAATGCGGCCATTCATTCTTGCTGGGTGTCCAGACGATGTCAGCCATCCATCCGTCCAAGTCAGGTATACACCAGAGCGACCCTTTTGCTAATCACGTCGCTTCTCGCCGTTTGCCTTGTCCAGTCCGCCCTCGTGTTCTCTGCCACCCACGGTCCGACTACTGTACCATGATGTGAGCGGGATACACTTTGGGCACACTTGAGACTCATTCAATTCACAGCAGGTTGCTGTTGCTGTCCATCTCTGCAGGCAAAACACAAACGCGCACAGCACACACACGTATGACCACATCACAGAAAATCCGACTGTATGTCTCTCTCTCTGTCGCACCCGTCAGTGGCTGCGAGCCAGTAGGGGGCGGCGGGAGGCGAGGGACCTGACAAACAGAAGACCACACACAAAGAAAGAAATCTCCCCAAGCACCTCACCTCCTCTCCCGGCCAAATCTACGCCCACCATTTCGTTGGCAGCGGCCAGTCCCGCCCTTCGCGAGTATGCCCGCGCCCCGGGGGCCTCGCCGCCCTCCATGCAGAGCAGGTCGCGCACCTCATCCTCGGCAGCCGACTTGTTGTCCTCACCGCCACCGCCCCGCCAGCCCACAGAAGCGCCACGTCGGGTGGGGGAGAAGTTCTTGTCGCCACCGGGGCTGCGGTTGGTGGCACCACCACGGATCTGTGGGGGGTGGATGGGCAAGAGAGGACAGAGGGAGGGAGTCCATGTGAGTGAGTGTGTGTCTGAGTGAGTGTTGGGAGAAGAGGGGACAGGGGGGAGAGGGGGAGGGGGTTTGGGTACCGCAGAGTCGCCGATGAATGAGAGGTCTGTGTCGTCGTCACCGAAGCCGTCCATCTGAGTGGCACCTGCAGGGGAGAAAGGACGGGAGAGTTTGTGGTGCATAACTCGATGATGGCGTGCTTGCCCTGCCCACCAGGCCGTTTGCTGCTCCTGATGACTGTGTATTTGATGTGGGCGAAGGGGTCGAACCCTGGATGGATGCAGTGCACACAATGACAGACATGTGTTGATGGACGCAGAAACGACACACAATGGCCGGCCATGGGACTCACTCACCGTATCTGCTGAAGATGCTGCCGTATTGCGGATGCCTCGACAGCCAGGTGGATATGGCCAGCAAGATGGCCAGCACAAGCAGAACCAACAAGACCAAATAGGCACCTGCATGACATGATGCAGAAGGACACAGACACACAGGGGGAATCAAGCCAAGCCCGCGGAGCCCCTGACTGACGTCATCCCAAAGACAAAGAAAGACCTTTGCCGAATGGCGATGTGTGTGGACAGGGCACTGCCACCGGTGGCGGCACCCAGCCGCCCTCACAGATGTCCCCCGGTATCTTGCGGTAAGCACTCTGACGATCGATGCACACAGACGGACAGCAGAGCAGAGCAGCAGAGTTTATATGGTGTGTTGACGGAAGTGTTAAAGTGGCTGGGTGCGTGACGTGACTTCTCCCACCCCGTAGAAGATCCCTCCCGAGGTGCAGTTGGCGGTGGTCAGTTTGGGGTCGTCGGGGACGCACTCCATGCTGCCCACCTGCACTCACACACACATAGGGAAACACAGAGCTGCACGTCCCAGTCAGTCTGACAGGCTCACCCACCCTCCGTGTGAAGCCCATCTCGCACTGGAAATCCTCCTGGGTGCATGCACACGCCTGTACAGGTACACACACATATCGACACATATTAGAACGCATCAGACAGACATGTGTGTGTGGGTGAGTGCCATCAGGGAGGAGCTGCTGCCGTGCCGTCTGGCCCACCTTCCTCTCCACAGGACGGTCGAAGTCCCGGCCGTTGAAGCACTCGGAGGTCTGCTTGCGACGAGTGTAGGTGATCTGACCAGCAGGCAGACAGGCAGGCAGATAGGCAGGCAGGCAGGCAGGCGGCACACACCAATCAAGTCACAGAATCCATGAGAATCAGAATCTTCATCGTTCGCCCACCAACCTGTCTGCCGAGGACGCATCGGTCGTTTCGGCGTCCATCTGTGGGGGTCCATGTCTCGTAGTCGGACGACACGGAGTCCGCCGCCCACACACCCTACAAACCACACACACACACACACATACAGAGGGCGGTGCAAATGTGTGTCGGGGATGGAGGGAATGAGTACGCTGCACTGAGGTTGGCCGAGGGCTTTGAAGTCGAGGTAGTACAACACACCCTGACGGACGGAGGGAGGGAACGATCACACGTGTGCGTGTGCAGGGGTGTAGGAGGTATGTATGGTTGCGCCTTACGGTGTCGGCTCTGCTGCCGTATAGCAGGAACTCCATGGAAGTCATGTTGGGCTCAATCACGATGTTGTCTACCTGCAATGCATCCACAGCCAGCCATCACCCCCATTCATGTGTGCGAAGGGAGAGGGGCTCTCACTGGCTGGCCATCCACGTGTGTGGTGTGTTTGGTGTGCGACCTCTAGGGGGTATTGTCCCAGGTCGAAGTCATACCAGCTCTGACCCTCATTCCACGAAAAGACCACCTGCATCGCATCGACAAGCACAGGCAATCCATGTGTGTATCAGGGATTAGTGCATTCCCCACCCACCTGTTTGGTGTATTTGATGTCGTCTGCCATGACGATGAGGCCGCCGTGGTCGCCAAACTCATAGATGTACGAGCCCTTGTGTGCCTCCACCCAGGTCTGCCCGCCGTCTCGAGAAAGGTACGTGTTGACCTGACGCGCCATCCATCCATCCATCCAACCTATACCCTCTCCCTCCCTCCCTCCCTCCCTCCCTCTCCCTCTCTCCCTTGCCGCCTGTTTGCATGCTCACATCGTCTTGTTCGAATCTAAGGTGAGGTCCGATGTTGCCCGTGCCGATGATGAGCCCAACGGCGCTGTCGACGGCGTAGAAGGGGGCGTACTTGTGGTGGTTGGTCACGCCATGCAGGTGCAGCCAGCAACGGTCCGGCGGGCAATCGATCTTCTGGCCTACAGGTCGGTCGGCAAACATGGACTCGTGGCGTGGATGGCATAGCATACATCGCTCTACGGCTATGCCATGGATGGAGTACCTCGGGAGTCGACGGTGGGCGCCACCAGGTACCTCCACGCCGAACCCTGGCGAAAGCAAACGACGAGAAGTGACGGGTGTGATTCATTCGTGCTGCTTCTCATTGATGGAGATGGTTGCGTGGATGTGTGGGTGCCTTGTCGAAAGAGATCGCCGTCCGAACCACGTCCTCGCTCTTCGCCTACACCCACCCACCCATTGGACGCGTCAGCGGATAGATGGATGGATGGATGGCTATGCCTGTCTGCCTGCCTGCCTGCCTGCCTTCGGGTGGGCAGGGCATGTGCGTACCCTAGCGTCAGGCCCTCGCCTCCGGTCTACTTGTGTCTCGGTGGCCTCATCCTCCTGCATAGCAATGTCACACACAGACAGACAGAGGGAGGGAATGTGTGTGGTGTTTGTGGTGGCCTGTTTGTGTACTTCCTCTTCGTAGCTGGCGTCCTCCTGCTCCTTGCGGCTCTCATTGGGCAGCTTCCCCGCACTGATGCGCCCATGAAAGATGCATATGTGATGGGATGGGAATCTGTTCTGTGTGGTCACTTGTTGGGGTCGTCTTTGAAGTTGGCAATATAAACGCCATCAAGACTGCGAATCTGACCACACCACACACATGTCTCAGGAAGCATTGATGGCATAGGGGCAGGATGTCAAGGAGATCACATACCCGGTCGAATTCGCATTCCCCCGCCCTGTTGCGGACGTTGTTTGCGAGGGTCAGGCTGTACCGCAGACCAGCGGCATCCGACACATAAACATTGCCGGTGCCGGTGCGCTCGGCCTGGTCCCCGTGGTTGGCGTGTATCATGACGACGCCCGAAGAAGTGTCCAGGATGGTGTAGGAACGCTCCTGAAGCTCGAGCGACATCTGATGAATATATAATGACATGCACACGTCGGCACATATGAATGACAACCCCCCGTCGCCCATCCACAAAGCGTCCACACCGCAGCTTGGTGGAATGTCTTGGCGCCGTCGTTGCTGACCATCATCTTGACCGTCTGCTTCTCAATGTCGTCCACCTGCACACCCACACAGACATACAGAGGGGGGAGAGAGTGATGCAACCATACCGCCTGTACGTCCATGTGCGTGTGTGCTCACTGACCACAGCGACGAATATGTATCCGTTAGAGACGAGAAACTTGTTGCCGCCGTGGACCAGCCGGTGCATGGACTTGCCAAAGTTCTCCGTGTGGGAGAAATGCACGTCATGGGACTGCATCCGCGTGCATCCACGCAAACAAACACGAAAAAAGACCTTCATGTGCATGTATGACGAGTTCAGAATCCCACACACGTACCCAAGCGGAGAACTTGGGTTGGTCTCCGTGTTTGTGTCGCCATGAGGTGACGTATATGCGGTCGAAGTGTCCGGACTTGACGTCGCCCCAGGAGAACTGCACCACATAGGCCGTCACCAGCTCGAACGTTCTCCCCAGGTCCTTGGTCACGTACAGCATGTGCACACACGGAGACGCTGCACACACACACACACACACACAGCCGCCCTTCGTCAATCAGTCAACCAACACACACATCGCGTGTATGATGCCTCCGCCAATGCGTACCGTCTCCGGTGACAAGTGTGATTGCCTGCCCCCTCTTCTCTTTGCAGCTGTCGGGCCACGTCGACAGCAGCGCCCACGTGGGCCGCTTCGGGTGGAACACCCACGAGTGTATGGGCGTCCTCTGCTTGAGCCGTCGGAAGGTCCGCGCGGCGTCCTCTGATATGAAGTGCGTGTGGTGGCTGCCCACCACCAACACGATGCTGGGCTGCACCGAGCTGACCACCACGGAATCCACCAACATGGATGCACCGCCCGATTCCTCATCTCCTGCACTCACTCACCCATCGCCAAATCCCCACACACCGATGTTCAAACGTCCATATATAATAGCTATGGACATATATGTATATTCGTTGTACACATCGTACCGATGAGGTGTGAGGTGATTTCTGTCCAGTCCTTGCCGGCGTTGTCGCTTCGGTAGAGTCGCTTCTTGAGGGTCCGCAGCAGGACGGTACGGCGGTCGTGGCCAGCCCACTTGATGGACTCGATGGTGCTGTCAAAGCTGGTCTCAGTTATCATCACTGCAAATGCCAATATCGACACATGAGGCATGCATCCGTGTGCATTCCTCGTCTATTCTTCCATTCCCTGGCTCATCGCATACCTTTCCTCTCGCCGAGCTGAGCACGGACTGGCTGTGGCAGCGCTGATGCCGCCAACAGCGCGAGGACGCCCAAGGCGATCATTTTACGACGCCCAACTGCAGCAAATGCATCTATATGGCCATGAAACCATGCATTCCTCCTGTTTCCTTACCTACCTGACTTGCCTTGACGACGATTTGAATTTACGAAGTCACTAAGTCCCAACCTCTTTTTCGCCCCAGTTCCAGTCAAGAATGAAGGTAAGGCGCCAAGCGCAGGTGTCCCCAGCCTTCAATCTCACGTTTCTCTTCAGGCCGTCATCGCTTTCCCCTTGATCTTCGTTGCCGTACTTGCCGAGCTGGCCGCCGGGAGAGGGCCGGAACTGGACGACTTCCTGGCCTCCAAGACGCCCCTGCAGCTGCAGAGGGAGCCCGACGAATGCGACTGCATCGATGAGGCCAAGGATCTCCACAGACAGCGAGATCTCGCATCACGGTACGGCGCAGGCAGATCTGGGCAGAATGCAGAGATCTCTCATTCGCACGGATGCTGCTCTGTGTCTCTCGCTCTCCCTTAGCGGCAGCTTCATGTTTCCTCGGATGAAAGCCTTGCTCCAAACCAAAAAACGCCAGGAGCCCTGCGACTGCATGGGTGGGAGGAGGGAAGGCGGCAAAAGCATGGCGTGTGTGGGTTCTCGTGTATGCAGGAGGTGCGTACGAGCATCATGCTGAGGACGTGGGCGGCAAGGACAGCGAAGGGACTCCCTTCGATGCGGCCAAGAGCACGTCGGAGAACCGCTGCATCATGGAGTGCACGGCAAAGCACCAGCAGGCCCATGAGTGTTGTGAGGGCTCTGCGGTCTACACATCGTGCAAGAAAGACCTCGGGGCGGAGGCATGCAAAAACGATGCAGACTTCCAGGTACCATGGGCACTTTGCAAGAGATCTGCGTGTGTCCTGTGCCGTATTCTCTCTCTCTCTCTCCCTTGTGTGTGTGTATGTGTGTGTGTGTGAATGTATGTGTATGTGTTTGTAGGAGAAGAGCTGTGAGGACCAGTGTGCCTCCTGGGGCCTCTGAAAAGCCCACCCCAGTAGATAAGGTTTGTAAGTTTGCGGTGGCCAGGCAGGCGTCAGCGTCAGGTCAGCCACTGATTGATCGATCCATCGCATACAGACATCGTGGATGGTGTCAGCCAGTATACATGAATGTATGTGTGTGAATAAGGAGTAGACTTTGGATGGATGGATGGATGGACGCGAACTCACGGCAATTACGTGGTCAAATGACTGACAAAGAGCAGCGTCCTCAAGGCCACATCCATCAGTCAGTGCAATATGTACACGAAAGGTCCGTCCACCCACACCCACATAATTAAGCGCCTCGCCCGAATATGCCAGCCGCTGTACATCCATCCATCCATCCATGTTCATGACCCTTCCCCATCGTCCGTCATCTTCTGGAATCTCCCCTGCACCCAAATCCGGCCATACTCCCGACCCTTGGCACGGTTCACCAGCTGCAATCAAATGACAGACAGGACAATGCACGCATACTCCTTGTGCCTGGCCCCCCTCCACCAACCTTGCGTGCAGTGTATTTCGTGTCGATTGGCCGCAGTCCCGCTGCCTGGCACAGCTGCCGCAGCTCGTCTAGCGTGAAGAAGTAGGCCAACGTGCCATCGCTCCTCTGGTGACGACAGACACACCCGTCACGCCACATATCAAGGTTGACAAGTCAGCTCGTCAGCGACGGTTGCCCCTATACCTTATATAGACGGCCATCGAGATGTCCGCCTCTCGCCGCTAAGCCAAACTGAGCTGAGTCCAGGAAACCATAGTCACGCACAAGCACGCGGCCCTGCACAACAAACACACGGCCAAATCATGCAGGGAAGACACAGGCAGTGATCTCTCACGTTTGGTTTTAACACGCGACCGACGTTCCTCAGCAGCGATGCCATCTCCTCTGGCCGCAGAGCACTCAGCACGAAGATGAGGGTCACGACATCGAACCGCCGATTGTCTGTCCATGGCCACGGATCTGTGCAGACAGCCAGCCAGCCAGCCAGCCAGCCAGCAGGAGGACTGTGCGTATCGCTCAGCTACACATCTATGTGTTGCAGGTACCTGAGTCTTGCGCGGGATCACCCACAAAGGCCTCGCACCGGGAGGAGTTGAAGTCAGGGTGGCAGCGCAGAGCTGCAATGGCAGTCTGAGAGATGTCCACTGCAGTCACGTGAAGCGACTCATGCGCCTGATGGATATAGGTAAATGGACGAATGGATCCAAGCAGACATGTTTCCACTGCATGCTTCAGTACCTTCAACATGGGCAGGACGGCCGATCCCGTCCCGCATCCCACTTCCAGCAGCTCTATTGGCTCGTCAGAGCACAGCTCAGGGAACTCCTGACTGAGGTAGTGCCGAAAGGGAAAGAACCGCGTCGAGTGCCGACGATGAAAAGCCTCCCAAGGCGACTCATCCACGATGACTCCTCGCCCTTTCCTTCGCTTGTGCTTGACGGGCACTCTCTTGTCAGCATGTTGCAGCTCCTCCACCAGAAGCGGCAGCTCGTCAAGGAAGTCTTCTTGGGTGTAGGGCAGCACGAAGGGCCCGGCACCCGACGCGTTAGCTGCAATCGTTGTCCACTTCTCGTGCGCGACCAACGCTGAATGTTCTGCTGCATCATAGCTTAGTGGGTCTGCTTGCTGCTGCTCCTGCTGCTGCCTCCCTGGATCTTGCTGAAAGGGCATCGGATGCTGTGACACGGTGACGGATCTTGCTGGTCTGTCACGTGGAGGCGCGTTGTGCGGCATGACGGATGACGAAGGGCTGAATACCAAGGCTCTCGCTGAAGATAGCAAGCTGGATGGCAGGACCAGGAAGGTCGTCAGCATTCCGACGTCAAGCGAGCATCATGATGCTGCCGCTTCCTATTCTGCGGTGCTTGCGAGTCGGACTCGTCAGCTCTCATCAAAGAAGTCATCAGAGTTCATCTGCTCAGCTCGTCCGCGAATTGGGTTAGTGCCCAATTTGCGCCTTTAAGAAACAACACGTTCGACAGACAAAACGTTCGATCACGATCGTACGGAAGAGAAAAGGAAAAGCGGTAGCGGTGTTGTGTTGCTTGCAGTACTACAGACACTGCAATATGTCGAGAAGCTTCGTGTTTTTTGTCATGTTTGGACCAGTAACCCTTAAACTGATGTACCCTAAAGCGGCAGCTTGGCCGTACCTGAAACCGCTGCTGCTTGAAAAAGATCGCGATTGCCTCGCGCGGAGAGAATCAACGAACAAGGGTCTCTGGCTTCGTCTCTCTGGGCGCGAACTTCTTAAAAAAGCAAGATCCGTAACGGAAGAAGCATCAACTGACTGAATAAACACACGAACGCGCCAGTTTGTGGTGG